TACGGAATAGTGGGCTTGTACACATGATGTTTGCGTTCGTGTTTATACATAATTTAGTAGTGCTGAGTTCACAGTACTACTGCACTAGCTTTCAAAGTTTCCATTTGCCGGTGAAGTGGGGTGTAATGTTTGAAGGTTGGTTGTTATTGCTCGTGAGATCCCCCCTTCGCGCGGCACCGTCGCAGTCGTTATCTATCGCTCCGGGAGGGTGGCTTACTCTCTGCCATACTTTTCATTAGTCACGGCTGGGGGGGGGTCGAGTGTTTCGCGAGTTAGTTTTCTTATTCGTGCTTCCCGAGATGGGGGTCCCGCGATGCATTGCCGGGGGTAATTTCAGCACCAGCAGGGCAGACCATACTCTTGTAGCCCTCTTGATCGAACTCCCCCAACACATCGTTCGTCTCCAACGTGTCCACGTGAGCTTCCTGGATGCTGATCGCGTCGTAGGGTCGCTTCAGTAGCTGCTTTGCCTTAGGGCACCAAGTCGACATGTTGCGCATACAGATGCGGAACTTCACGCCTCCGCCCTCTCGAGGTGAGCCCTCTGCCTCAGCTGCCCGCGCCCCGGTCCCGGCAGCCGATCCCTGTCCCGCGTCGGAGGAAGTGTAGTAAATTCTTCCAGGGTGGAAGAGACCCCACTCCAGACCAGGTCAGCCCTGTCTTGGGCTAAATCGTCCACATCACTATCCTCATCACCGTCTGGGAGGGGCCGATCGGGTGGTACTCGATCCCCAAGCAGACGCCTGAAACGACGACGCAGTTCCCGAAGGTCTTGATAGTGCCATCTGACAAACCTGCGGTATTGATCCTTGTCCCTGATGCCATTGAGAGTCACAAAGAAGAATGCTCGATGAGGTTCGGCCCGGATCCAACTGTCAGTGCACAACATCTCGGCGATCTCCGCCAATGGGCGGCCATAGAAATTTTCCAAGTTGATACCCATCACCCTCCGTGAGCTGTGTGAAAGGGCCTCGATGAAGTACGGTGCACACCATTCTCTCCAATGCTCAATGCTGTTGAATCTTTCTCCTCGGATATTGTGGATCCATCTTGCTGCTGAAGCTGTCATCTCATCACGTAGCAGTCGCCGTTCCCGCGCAGGATTGTCGGTCCTGGGTGACGGAACATGTGGTGGCCATCTACCCATCCAAGCCGATTGATTCGCACTGCGTCCAGCAAAACGGCTGGCCGCTTGTCCCACACGACTTTTACCCCAGGCCTCCTGTGGACTGGGTGCCGCGGGGAAAGTCGGTTGCCGCGACGAATCCAGGACGAACCTGGATTTGCAGCTGTCGCCTCAGAGAAAACAAGATTCCAAGATACCGTCCAGCCTGATACCGATATCTCATCTTCCCAAAAGAGAAAGCAATCCTGCCCTCCGTGAATGAAATGGCCGCGCAGCTCAAGGTAATCAGCATCCCAGTCAAAGCCAGGGGCCCCGAGAGGGGCCACCCCCTGGCGGTCATCTGTGAAGCCGTAGACCGCATCGGTGTTGTCCGTGCCAGGGGTCCCAGGAGGGGGCGCCCCCTGGATCGCATCTGAGTCGAAGTAGAGCTTCGCCTCCCAGTCCTCGCCAGGGGTCCCAAGAGGGGCCAACCCCCTGGTGTGCCAGAGTGCCAGGGGTCTCAAGGGGGTCCACCCCCTGGAATACCTCTGGGTCGAAGTAGTGCGCATCATCCAAATCCTTGCCAAGGGTCCCAGTAGGGGCCACCCCCTGGAATACGCGCCAGCCCTTGATGGAGCTGCCAGGGGTCTCAGCAGGAGCCACTCCCTGGAATAGCCCGCACGCTGTCGAGAAAGCCGCCGTGCCCGTAGTAGATCTGCCCGACGATCCCTCTTCACTGACCTCCCTCTGCGCTGCGACCTGTCCAAGGCTGGACGGGAGCCAGAGTTCGGCCGAGGGTGGGCTATCATCAAACACTCGGCGACGGAGTCCTCTTGGCTTTAAGGGTCTGTTCCAAGATGGCCTTGGGTTCCTTCTGCTTGTTCGTCGCTACTTGATCAACACCTTGCCAATATGAAGGAGGCGCCGACCCCGTAGCTGTCCCTGCAGTAGACTGAGGTGCCGTAGGTGCTGCCGTAGAACCTGCAGGCGCTACCGCTGCAGTGGGGGCTGCCGCTCCCGTCCCAGCTCCTTCACCACCTGTGTGCGGAGCCACTGGCCCTGGCGAAAGATTGCCCTCACGCTTCCTTAGTAGCCTGCCAGGGGCCCAGTTCCTCCACCTTTTTCTGCTGCTGCTCAGCCAACGTTGCCACCATTTGACTGAACTGTGAAGATAGCGCGGCCCTGAACTCGTCCTCGAAAGATGACTTCCGTCGCCCAAACTCGATGCGATCTTGCTCCTCCAACTCCACGTCTTCGAAGAGACCGCCGAAACTGAGCTTGAGTTCCGCCTTCTTGTCCAAGAACTCGCGTACGTCCAACATCCTCAGTTCGGGCCGCCGAACAGGTTCTGGGGCAAGTTCTTTGGCGACAGTTTCTTTCGAGACGATAGCCTCTGCCAGGCTTGCCGCGTGCTCCTTGTGCTGGTCCATGGCCGAGCCCAGCTCCTTTTCCAATCGGAGAATTCGCTTAGCAACCTTGTCCAAAGCAACTTCAGTACGTTCAACTCTCTGGGAGGCCTCGGCAAGCCTGATAGACGGGGGCTTGGGAGGAACCGCTGGTGTCTGTGCCAAAGTAGACTGTAACATGCGAGCCTGCTCTGCTGCAGCGCCGCCCTTCGCGATGATCAATCCCAAATAGGCTTCAACGTCCACGGGTACCTGTCCGCGCTGATTACCTCCACCAAGTGCAGGCCGTTGACCACTGGGGCGTCCCTTGAGGAAGTTGCTACAGTACAGGCACGTGTAGTCGAACTTTTCGAGCTGGTCGTTGTAGCAGAACTTGCAGCACACCTTGCACCAAGTGGAGGAGGAAAAGGAGGAGGAGGAGGGGAAGGAGGAGGAGGAGGAGAAGGAGGAGGAGGAGGATCGATGTTCGAGGATCGAGGACCGAGGTTTGACAGCATTTCTGGCGCGCCCTGGGCCTCCGCGCGCCCTTGGGGCCCCCCTGGAAGCCTCCGGGACTCCGGGGACCTCCGCGGGCTTCTCCATAGGTGGCCGCAGCGGGCCGCGGCTCGTCCACCAGGCCAGGATGGGCCTCCTCCTCCTCCTCCTCCTCCCCCTCCTCCTCCTCCTCCTCCTCCTCCTCCTCCTCCTCCTCCTCCCGCGGCCGGGCTGGGCCTGGGCGAGGCTCGACTACGCGTACAGTCGGACCGAGGTACGTAGCACCCCGCAGTCGCGGATAAGAGTGAGGGGGCGGCAGGGACGTCGGCAGTCTGCGAGGCTCTGAAGAAGCCCGCCGCAGGCGCCTAATTTGTACAAATTATACATCGAGCGCGCCGCAAGCGCCGATTCTTCGTTAAAGCAATGTAGGTGGGTTGCGGCGTGGATCGCGGGTGTGTCGCGGGTGGGTCACGGGTGGGTCGCGGGTGGATCGCGGGTGGGTCGCGGGTTGGGTCGCGGGTGGGTCGCAGGGCGAGTCGCGGGTGGGACGACGCCAAGAAATAATAATCATAATAACAACACCAACAACAATTATAACAATACCAGCAACAACAGCAGCAACAACAACAGCAACAGCAACAACAACATCAACAGCAACAATCATTTTACCCGCATGCGCGATGTTTCCACATGACAATCATCCCCATCATGGGGAATTTGTTTTATAGCGGGGTCCGTTATTCCCATTCCCAGATCTCCCGCCCAATGAGCTCTTGCAAACACCTACTCCGAGGAATTTCAACACATCCCGCCGCGAAAACGCATGCCCGCTCCTTGCTGGGCCGATGCGAGACCGCCAGTGGAGCCCCAGCCAAGGATAAAGCACAAGGAAGTATCGAGCGACAGGATCGCTTTGGTGGGGATGGAGGCTGTCGGCGGCGAGGCAAGGACCTGGCCCTGAATAGAAAGGGAGGAAATCTCGAGCAGGGCCGCTGTTGTTGCTGGGAGCGGCGCCAATGCTGAAGAGAGTAGGGCGCTAGTCCAGAGTAAAACGAAACGAAGTCTCGAGCGGGAACGCTGGTTTGTTGGGACGGCGGTTGTCGGCGGCGAGGAGGAACACCGCCTTGAGTAAGAAGTGAGGAAATCTCGAGCGGGAGCCGTGGTTTTGTCGGGACGGGGGCTGTCGGCGGCGAGGAAAAGCACCGTCCATGGAGAAAAAAGGAGGAAGCCTCGAGCGGGAGCGTTGTTCTTGCTGGGAGCGGCGCCAATTCAAAAGAGAGTAGGGCGCCAGTCCAGCGTAAAACGGGAGGAAGTCTCGAGCAGGAGCGCTGGTTTTGTCGGGGCGGCGGTTTTCGGCGGCGAGGAGGAGCACCGCCTTGAGTAAAGACGGGAGGAAATCTCGAGCGGGAGCGTTGTTGTTGCTGGGGGCGGGGCCGATGAGAGAAAGAGTAGCGCGCCAGTCCAAGGTAAAACGGGAGGAAGTCTCGAGCGGTAGCGCTGGTTTTGTAGCGGCGAGCAGGAGCGGGAGCGTTGTTGTTGCTGGGGGCGGGGCCGATGAGAGAAAGAGTAGCGCGCCAGTCCAAGGTAAAACGGGAGGAAGTCTCGAGCGGTAGCGCTGGTTTTGTAGCGGCGAGCAGGAGCACCGGCCCTGAGTCAAAAAGGAGGAAGTCTCGAGCGGGAGCGTTGTTGTTGTTGGGGGGCCGTTTTGGCGCCCTCCCAAAACGCTCGAGCGTGAGCCTCATTTTCAATGAAAATGTAGCCGGCGCCAAGGCGAGAACGCGAAAGCGTCTGGGGGGGGGTCCAACAATAGTAATTGTTCAGTAATTAGCATTCAACGACAACAACAACAAACCAACAACAACGAGAACCCGCATCGCGGAATCCTACTTCAGCCACGCACGCAGGGACAGTGAATGACCGTTTGGCCTCCTCACTTTGGTAAGATCGAGGTCGGTTCGGGGAGGGTAGCCTAGTGTTCTTCGTGATTCTTGGATGTTCTTGTGCATCCTGGGGAGGGTACCCTTGGATGCTCTGTGCCTTTTGGCTGGCGGAGGGTCTCATGCTCTTGGATGATGTTTTTCTGGCCTAGGTCCGACTGTAAGAGCGACCCTTCGCCGGAGTACTTTCTGGTGCGGGCCGTTGGGATCCCCCGACCGCCGAACGCGATGCGACAGTGGCGTCTTGCGCGTTTATGTTTCTGCTTGTGACTGTTCCCCCCGCGGCCCCCAAAAAGCCGCGCACCAAAGGCCACTCTCACCCGGGGTCGCGCTTGCGTGGAGCAGAGAGGCGAGAAGGGGGGGCGCGGCCTCCTACCAGCGCACCCCGCCTCTGAGACGCGACCCTTCCTCCCGAAGCGTCTCCTCGGAGGCCTCGAAGAGACAAAGTGGCCGATCCCTCCAAAGAGGCCCGCTGCCTTCCCTGGCGTCCGCCCCGCCACTGGCCGGAATTTGCTCCAAATCGGCCCCGGGAATCCATCATGGCCAGCCCTTCCCAGCTGAGGCCCAGCCGCGAAGGCGAGGCTCCCCTCCTTCCCCTCGAAGGCCCGAAAACGAGGAAACCGAGGAATTAGAAGAGGAGGAGGAGGAGGAGGAGGAGGAGGAGGAGGAGGAGGGAGAAGGACGGGGAGG